GAGGTAAGCTTCGTAGATTGAGACAAACTAGTAGTATTCCTGACTACATCAAAGAGTTCACTACCATCATGCTCAAGATCGAGGACCTGTCCGACAAGGAGGCTCTCTTCTACTTCATGGACGGACTTAAAGACTGGGCGAGAGTAGAACTCGATAGACGCAAAGTGCAAACTCTAGATGAGGCAATTGCTGCTGCTGAGTCTATAATCGCCTACTCCACCAAGTCCAAAAAGCCTAATCCTGGTAGCAGTGGAGGAGACAAAGGAGGACAAAAGAAGAATTTTGATCGTAAGGATGGTGGTAGATTCTTTGGTGGGAGTTCTAGACAGGATAAACCACCCTCAATCAGGCGTGATGCCTCAAAGCCACCGAAGCCATGCTTCATGTGCAATGGTCCACACTGGACTCGTGACTGCCCCAACCGTAAGGCTATGAATGCCTTGGTTGCTGAGATGAAGGATAACCGGGACAAGGAACAACAGATCGACCTTGGTTCCCTCCAACATTTGAATTCCTTGACTGGACTCTTTTCTCCATCTAAGAAGGAAGAGAAGGGTCTACTTTATGCTGATCTTGCTATTCAGGGCAAGTTCGCCTCTGCCATGCTCGACACAGGAGCATCCCACAACTTCATGGAGGCTGAAGAAGCTAAGAGATTGGGTATCCAACTCAACAAGGGAGAAGGCACCATTAAGGCAGTGAACTCCCCAGCCAAACAAGTCCTTGGGATTGCCAAGGATGTGAAGGTGAAGATTGGGGACTGGTAAGGTACGTTAGACTTTACTGTTGTCCCTATGGATGATTTCAAAGTTGTATTGGGACTTGCTTTCTTTTGCAAAGCACATGCCTTCCCTATTCCTGAAGCCAAGTCTATGGTGGTCATTGACTCCAACATGATTCGGGTAATCCCCTTGAAACGCTTAGAGAAATCCAACCCTATGATTTCTGCCTTGCAATTCAAGAGGGGTCTCAAGAACTCAGAGGGGTATATTGCCACTGTACGTTCATTGGCCGAGGAAGGGGATGACCCAACCAAACCACGGGAAATCTTGCCACCTTGCATCCAAGAGGTGCTACAGGAATACAAGCACGTCATGCCCGATGAGTTGCCCAAGAAACTACCTCCCAGAAGAGAGGTAGACCATCAGATCGAGTTGGAGCCTGGTGCCAAACCACCTGCCTTGGCACCTTACCGCATGTCACCTCCAGAACTTGCAGAGTTAAGGAGACAACTGCAAGATCTCCTTGATTCAGGATATATTCAACCATCTAAGGCCCCATATGGTGCTCCAGTCCTTTTCCAGAAGAAGGATGGATCATTGCGAATGTGCATCGACTACAGGGCCTTGAACAAGATTACTATTAAGAATAAGTACCCGATACCTTTGATCGCCGACTTGTTCGATCAGCTTGGAAAAGCCAGGTACTTCTCTAAGCTTGATCTCCGATCCGGGTACTATCAAGTACGCATCGCCGCAGGTGATGAACCGAAGACAACCTGCGTGACGAGATATGGAGCATTTGAGTTCCTTGTCATGCCCTTTGGACTGACGAACGCCCCGGCAACGTTCTGCACACTCATGAACAAGTTGTTCCACCCTTACTTGGACCAGTTCGTGGTGGTATACTTGGATGACATCGTAGTATATAGCAACACTCTTGAAGAGCATGCTCAACACTTGAAGAAAGTCTTCCAGGTACTCTCTGATCATGAACTTTACATTAAGCTGGAAAAATGTTCTTTTGGTAAACAAGAGGTGGACTTCTTGGGGCACAAGATCAAGGATGGAAAGCTCATAATGGACCCAACTAAGGTTCGAGCCATCCAAGAATGGCAGCCTCCTACCAAGGTCCCAGAGTTAAGATCATTCCTTGGTCTGGTGAACTACTATCGGCGGTTCATTAAGGGGTATTCAACTATCACTGCTCCATTAACAGATTTGCTCAAGAAGAATAAGTCTTGGCAATGGTCACAAGATTGCCAAGATGCTTTTGAAAAGCTCAAGCAGATGGTCGCGCAAGAGCCTGTTATGTCCTTGCCTGACTACTCCAAGCCGTTTGAGGTACACACTGATGCCTCAGACTTTGCAATAGGTGGCGTGTTAATGCAAGAAAGGCACCCTATTGCGTACAAGAGCCGCAAACTCAATGACACAGAGAGACGCTACACGGTGCAAGAAAAAGAGATGTCTGCCATTATCCATTGTCTACGAACCTGGTGTCATTACTTACTTGGGAGTAAGTTCACTATTATGACAGATAATGTTGCTACGAGCTACTTCCAAACACAAAAGAAGCTTAGCCCGAAACAAGCTCGCTGGCAAGATTTTCTTGCTGAGTTTGATTATCGATTGGAGTACAAGCCAGGCAAAGCAAATGTGGTGGCGGATGCCTTAAGCAGGAAAGCCGAGTTAGCCACTCTCTCAGCAAGCATGCCCCAGAATGACTTCCTTGAACGAATCAAGGAAGGTATGTCTCAGGACTCATCTGCAAGCAACTTAGTAAAGCTTGCTACTGAAGGCAAGACTCGAAGATTTTGGGTGAATGATGGAATACTCTACACCATTGGGAACCGAGTCTATGTGCCGAAATGGGGCAACCTTCGAAGGGATGTCTTAAAAGAGTGCCATGATTCCATGTGGGCCGGACATCCAGGTATGACCAGAACACTTGCTCTCGTGCAAAATCATTTCTATTGGCCACATATGCAAGATGATGTCGAAGCATATGTGAGAACTTGCTTAGTGTGCCAGCAAGATAAGGTTGAACAACAACATCTTGCTGGTCTGCTCGAACCTTTGCCAGTGGCTGAGAGACCATGGGAGAGTGTCTCCATGGACTTCATAGTTGCTCTCCCTAAGTCTGAAGGATGTGGGAGTATCATGGTGGTGGTTGATAGATTCAGCAAATATGCCACCTTTATACCAGCCCCAGCAAATTGTAAGGTTGATGAAGCAGCACGCTTGTTTTTCAAGCATGTTGTGAAGCTATGGGGGATCCCTCGCAACATCGTCAGTGATCGAGATCCCCGATTCACCGGGAAATTCTGGAGAGAACTTTTCAAGCTCTTGGGGACAGACTTGAACTTCTCAACAAGCTTTCATCCTCAGAGCGATGGACAAACGGAGCGAATCAACGCTTTGTTAGAGCTCTACCTTCGCCACTATGTGAGCGCTCATCAACGAGATTGGGCTAAGTTGCTCGATGTGGCCCAATTCTCTTACAACTTGCAACGAAGTGAGTCGACAGGTAAGAGCCCTTTTAAGATAGTTACCGGACAACAACCTCTAACCCCTAACGCACTTGCCACTCCATACAAGGGAGACAATCCAGCTGCCTATAAGTTTACCAAGGAATGGCAAGAAGAAGCCGACATTACTCGTGCATGCCTGGATAAAGCTTCTCAAAAAATGAAGAAGTGGGCAGACAAGAAGCGGCGCCCCATTGAATTTCAAGTAGGTGACTTGGTCATGGTTAAGTTATTACCGAATCAATTCAAGTCACTACGCAAAGTCCACAAAGGCTTGGTCAGGAGATATGAAGGCCCTTTCCTTATCATTAAACGTGTGGGAAAGGTTGCGTACCAGATACAACTCCCTCCCAAGCTTAAGATTCATCCTGTCGTCCATGTTAGTCTCTTGAAGAAATACTATGGAGATGAAGAAGATCCATCTCGAGGTATCTCTAAGAGAGCACCGACAGCGGTCGTCACTGAGTACAACAAAGAGATAGAAGAAATCCTTGCCGACAGGGTGATCAGAAAGAGAGGAGTTCCCAACTATACTGAGTACTTAATCAAGTGGAAGGGTCAACCAGACTTTGAAGCTAGTTGGGAACGTGAAGACCTCCTGTGGCAGTTCACTGACCAAATCCAACGCTACAAGGAGGAAGGCGCGACGAGGGCGTCGCGAAATCAAGTGGGGGAGAATGTCACGTTTCGTCATTTTCCACAAGGTTAAAGAGGTCCGGAATGCTCTAGAACCCTCCAGAAGGCTCCCAGCTAACCTTAAGAGTGCTAGAGTGCAAGAACATTCTAGAGAAGCCTACACAACTCTAGCCTCAATATTTTAATATTGTCTCTAGATTCTTCCGTTAAAATATCTAGATATTTGTTAAGAGAATTCTAGAGAATCAATTGTAACCGTAGGATAGATTTAATCTCCACCGTCCATTAAGGAGGTGGGAACATTCTAGATCCAAGGGGAGGCCTATAAATACCTCACCCCTCCTCATTTGTAAATCAACCTTGAGTTCTCAAAGCTATAGAACTCTCACATTCTCTCTCTACTCTCCTTTGCCTTCAAGCTTTCCCTTTCCTCTTCTTAGCCAAGCATCCTCCTTTCATACGAGTTAGGCTTACTTAGCAACTTCCAGTGAAGGTTGTCTAAGTGCCGCACAGGTCGAAAGACTAGCCCCGTGACATACAGCTATGAATAAGGATCAGCTTATGATGCAACTCCTTATATCTTTACTATCAGGTTCTTCAATTGAAACACGAGAAGTGAATAATTTAGATGAAAAATATACTGTCATTGATTTTAATCACCACACCACCTCTATCAAATGATGCTATTAAATAACCATGCTTTGTCATATTTTAATTAGAAAACCAAATGGTAAACTCGCAAAGAAATGCATTGATTTCTTTTCCCTATGAATAATGCATATTTGATAGAGGCATTGAAAAGAGCAGGTGCAGGTGGGTAGGCATAGGTAGTTTAAGACTTCTAATTATTTATTGTTTTTTTTTTTTTGAGTGCATATTTAAAGTTGTTCAATCTGATCTTGAACAATTAGGATTAATGTACCGACCCTATATATTTTCTAACTCTCGAAAGTGCTCAGAATTTTCTCACTTATTATTTCTTTCTTGAGGAAATATACAGAGGTAATGAGTGTTGGTTAGATGGTTTTAACTATCGTCACTAGTAATTATCTTTTACATATTGTGGTATGGATATTTGTAGCTGTTACTAAACATAATAAATACCGTTAATTAGGATTCTCCATGGAAAGCTATGGAAAAATTTAAGGGAAGGTCAATAGAGGAGGTACTACGGCAGCAGATTGAAAAGGAAAAATATGACAATGGGAGCAGTGGGGTAAAGCCACCAAGAGGGGGCGGCGGCGGCGGCTCTGGTGGATCAGGGGATGGAGGCTTTGCTGGGAAGTCCAATGAGACTCTCCAAGTTGTTTTAGCTACCATTGGATTTCTATTTCTGGTACTCTTCTCTCCTCTTGATATCTTATGATGTGTATTAGGAATTGCCTCATCTTTCTAGTTTCATGACCCTAGTTTATCTTTTATTATTAAAAATAGAGATAAATAAATAAAAGCATCAAGTTGAAATATCCAAGTGAAAGAAGGGAAGAAGGTAACTTTGTGGATGAATTTTGAGAGCGAGATTACTGCCAGGTATAACCGCATATTGAATAACAAGTCTTGTCCTATTAGGTGGGATCACTTTAAAAATTCCAAGTATAACTGCATGTGATAACAACAAGAAGCCAATTATAATTGCATATAATTATAATAATTAAGAAAAGGGTGATACCTTAGGACACTTGCGAAAGTCTTCATAATGCATGTGGTTAAGCTTGCAATACATTTATGCACACACTGTTGGTAGAATTAGCCATGTGATAAAAGAAAAGGTAACATTGTGTACGTGTTTCAAGAGCAAGGTAACTGCCAAGTATCACTGCATTAGAAGTTTTGCCCAAAAAAAAATAAAAAATTCACTACATTAAAAGAAATATGTGATAACCTCTAAGACACTTGATGAAGTCTTCACAATGCATGAGGTTAAGCTTGCAATATACTTATTTTCACGCTGCTGGTGGATAGAGTATCACCTTGGACATGATTCTCTTGGATGATTGGTGATAATGCCATGCTTCATTTGTTAACTTCCACGTTCTACTTTTCCAGTATGTCTACGTCCTCACTGGCGAGGAACTCACAAAGCTAGCTAAGGACTACATTAACTATCTGTATAGTGGAAGACGAAGTGTGAGATTAAAGCGAGCCATGTTCAAATGGGACCGACTCTGCCAGAGCGTGACGGAGAAGGTGGTGGACAGGCAGTGGTTGGAGAAGGCTATGCTCAAAAGGAATTACTTGCAATCAAAATCAAATCAATAAATTCATTTTCAGGACTCTGTCATCATCCTGTCTGGTTCTTTCCCTGCATTTGTCTTCCCCCCCCCCCCCCCCAAATTAGATTGATGAAGATAGGAATAGAGAGGTAGGCTAAATCAATATGAATATAAAGGTTTCATTTTTTAGGTTATTTGAGGTATATTCAATTATTCATGGTTTGGTTGCCGTTGTGACCGTGAGAATGTCTTGTACAAGAGGCTGATTTTTTTTTTTACTGTTACGAAAATATTATTTGCATATTTTTGCACAATTTCGGTCATAATGTGTGCTTAGTTGATGATTTTGAGCGGCTCATGAGAGGCACAAGCTATACATTTTCTGTAGAGAAACATAAAAGAATTGCTTAATTGGGAGTTTGGGCAAATTTGAATCAAAGAACTTGTCGATTTACTATTAAGTTTGAATACTCACGCTAAAATATATTGATTTTTAACGCAATTATCTAATGTTGAGGTCGTCCCACTAATAATTTGTTATGAAAAAGAGAGATCTTTTTAAGGAAGTATTAGTCTTATTTTGCCCCTCGAACAACTTTGGTTAATGTCTCTAGCGAAGGAGTTCAGAAAAAAATAGCTTAAAATCTTTAAAATAATAATAATTTTCTTACGATGGCAATGCAATTAGATAATTATTTTTAAAAAATATTAGAAAGCTTTTTTATGCCACCTGATGACAGAGACTATGCCTGTCTGATAGCAAAATGAGTGAATTGGGACTTCCTAATGAAAATCTCATGTCAATTCAATGACCCAGTTATTGAAAGGAACATTCACATGCCGATATTTGCTAAAGGAACATTCACATGCAGACATTTACTGAGTCTGGAAAGTCTCTTCCTGCCTTTTTGCAACCTTGATCTTTAGGAGCCAACCTCTATTCACTTATCAAATGGGATGAACAAAATGCTTCATTATGAGGTAAGTTTTAGTGTTTGCAATTTGCTCGTTGTCTAAGAAATTCTGCAATGTTCAGGTTGAAAGTTTAGTCATTTGACCAAGTGAATTATTTCAAGTGAAGTGGCCTTGATATTAAAGCAGTTACCATTACCAGCGTTTATTGTCACCACTTGCTGTCATCCACTTTCACTAGCCTCCACCCATCATTGGTGGTTACCTTTAAACCTTGCTAGTTACTATAGTTGACCACTACTATCAACTATCACTATTGACTACCACCATTGATTGCCATCCATCATCATTAGCCATCACTATTGATTGTTATGATAGATATCTATTGTTTATGTCATATTTATATTACTTTTCCTAAATTTCAACATCATTTTGAGCTTAATAGGCCTTTCAGATCATTTGGGTCAATTCTGCAATTTCTGAAACTTTTAGGGCAGAATTGTGATTACTAAAAGCTTTGGGGTGAAATGTAATTTTTGAAAATAATTTCTGAAAAATTGAAAATTTCATCATTAATTAATTTTTAGTTTTTATTTAATCTCATGAGTGTACTTTTCCAACACTTTGGAGGTGTACTAGGTTAGATTTTTTTACTTTAATGATTCCTAGAAAATATACCGCAACTAATCCAATCTCCTAATCTTCCATAATTTCATTTTAATTCACTTCTTATTTTCATAATTCACACCTAAATTTAATGCATTAATAAAATACAAGGAAATATACGTGCATAACTTGGTCATTAACGAGTCCATTTTGTGTTAGGCCACGGAATGTTCATGGATGATTATAGCAGCAAGAAAAAGGAAATTCTACCCCTTTGATGACCTTAAATCATCATCGAATAGTTGGAAATGCAGTTGCAATTGTAAGAAACCTTGATGACAATTCCAGATTCCATTTTCTTTTTCTTTTCCTTTATTTTAATCATGCATTTTACAATCATCCTTATCATCATAATTTCGAATTTCATTTTTAGAATATTATTGGCCTTCCATTCCCATTTCCTTGCATTTAAATAAATCCTCCCAAAATTCCATGTACATACCCATTGATAATAGGCTAAAATGTATAAAACTTTCATGAACTTTAAGGCAATTACGTACAACCCTTTCACCTTTAAAAATTTAAAATTAACATCCATAATCTTTTATTTACTTTTGCTACAAACTCCCCTTCTATTGTTTTTTCTCTTACTAGCCAAAGTTGCCATATTGTATTAAGATAAGATATGTAAAAACTTATATGGTATCCTAGCTAATAATAAATTTATAAAAATTTTATCCATATTTTTTTGTTATTAATTATGCATATTTTTCTTGTTTTAAAGGAAAAATAAATAAATTTTTATTTATTGAAATTCATAAATATTTAAAAATTATCAGGACACATTTTCCTTCAAAATTCAAAACAATCTTATAATTAGAACATTATCATGTACATCGTCCTATTTAAAAGTTTGAAATTAGATACTTTCAAAATATTATCTAATAAGATATTTTACAGTCATTCAAGTAAATTAATTAATTGTTATCGTGTCATTTAAGACATTCATTAATCAAGTACTGGATCCAAATCCTTTTTCTCATGCATCCATACCAAACCTTAGTCTCTCCTCTGTTAATTCCACCATCTTTTACTCATCCATATCTCATTCTAATTCCATACTTGGAATCCACACAACTGATTTACTGTTATGAACAATATCGTTTGCAGATTTTTGCACAATTTCGATCACAATGTGTGTTTAGTTGAATGATTTTGAGCGGCTCATGAGAGGCACAAGTTATAAATTTTCTGCAGAGAAACATAAAATAATTGCTTAATTGGGAGTTTGGGTAAATCAAGCTTAATCAAAGAACTTGTGCCGATTACAATTAAGTTTAATACACACGGTAAAATATATTAATTTTTAACACAATTATCTAATTTGAGGTCCGACTAACTATTTGTTATGAATAAAAAGAGCCTTTTTATTTAAAAAAAATATTAGCCTTATTTTTCCTTTACTACAATTATGGCTAATGTCTGCAGAGGAGGTGTTAAGAAAAAAATAGTTTAAAATATTTAACATAATAATTATTTTTTTATGAAGGCTATATTTTTTTAATCAATTGAAGGAAAAACAATTAGATAATTATTTTTAAAAATATTAGATTTTTCTTTATGCCACCTGATGACAAAGACGATGCCTGTCTAATAGCAAAATGAGTGAATTGCAACTTCCTAATGAAAATCCAAAATCAAATCAATGACTTAGTTATTGAAAGAAACATCACATGCAAACTTCTGCTGACATTGGAAAGTCTCTCTTCCTACCATTTGCAACCTTAATCTTTAAGAGCCAAGCTGTGTTCATTTGTCAATTATGATGAACAAAAAGCTTCATTATGAGGTAAGTTTTGTTCTGTGTAATTTGCTCGTTGTGTAAGAAACTCTGCAGAATTTGTTCAAGCTGAAAGTTGAGCCATCTGACCAAGTGGATTACTTCAAGTTAGCTAGCCTTGATGTTAAAGCACTCACCATCGCTAGTGCTTATTGCTGCCATTACCATCATCCACCTTCACTAGCTTCCACCTGTCATTTGTGGTCATCGTTGATTCTTACTAGTTATCACAATTGGCTACCACTATCAATTATTATTATTGACTACCATCATTGATTGCCACCTATCATCACTAGCTACCACCATTGATTGTTGTCATAATAAATGTACATTGTTTTTATCATTGTTACATTTATTTTCTACCTTTTGACACCTTTTGGGGGCATTTTGGGCTTAATAGACCTTTTGGATCATTTGGGCCAATTCTGTAATTTCTGGAACTTTTGGGTAGAATTGTGATTTCTAAAAGCTTTGGGTCAAAATGTAATTTTTGAAAATAATTTCTAAAAAACTTCACCATTAATTAGTTTTGAGTTTTTATTTCATCCCATGAATTTAATTTGAATTAATTCATTTTATTTTATAAGTTATTTCACTTAATCACATCTTAAGGTACACACTTTTATACTTTTAAGGGTACTTTCCCAACACTTAGAAAGTTTATTAGGTTAGAATTTGTTTTTATTTCAAGGATTCCTAGGAAACTTACCACAACTAATCCAATCTCTTAATCTTCCATAATTTCAATTTATTTGCTTTACATTTTCATCATTTACAATTAAGTAGGATGCATTAATAAAACACAAGGAAATATATCAGCATATAACTTAGTCTTTAATCAGTCCATTTTATGTTTTAAGCTATGGGATGCTCATGGATGATTAAGGAAGCAAGAAGAAGGAAATTCTACCCTTTGATGAGCTCAAATTGTGATCCAATGGTTGGAAATACAAATTGCAAGTGCATGTAACGTTGATGACATTGATGGCAATTCCAAATTCCTTTATTTTAATCATGCATTTTCCTACCATTCTTATCATCATAATTTCCAATTTCCATCTCCATTTTTAGAATATTATTTTCCTTTTATTTCCATTTGCTTGCATTTAATTAAATCGTCCCCAAATTTCCTATGTGCATACATGTCATCCCCATTGATAACAGGCTAAAATATATAGAATCTTTTTCACTTTTAAAAGTTTAAAATAAATCTTTCTAACCTTTTTTTTTTAAATCACAAACTCCTTTTTCATTATTTTTTAGCTATCTTACTAATGAAAGTTGCCATATCATATTATGATAAAAACACATGATAACTTATGTGGTACCCTATGTAAGCTAATAATAATTTTATAAAAAATTTACCTATATTTTTTTATTAGTAATGCATATTCTTCTTGTTTTAAAGGATAGATTTTTATTTATATGATTCCTTCTTAAGTTGTGTTAAAAATAATTAAAATATTTTTTCATGTTAGGTGCCATGTATATCTCATTAATGTGATATGACAAATTCTATTAATATGATAATAGAGTTATTAGTGGTAGGGCCTGTGAAGAAAAATATAAAACATTGGGAAGATTAATTTTAAATGTTTAAAAGTGAAGGAAATTATATACAATGGCATCAAAGTTTAGGGAAATTTTGCATATTTTAACCTTGAAAGTATCCTAAGATGCACCATCCTATACACCACTTCAATGCACTTGGAGAAGAGCAAATCCTAGTCCTTGGATGAGTTATTTTTATCCATAACACTTAGTGAGAGCAATCAGATTGCAATTTTCCAGATTCACACCTCTTTCATTTCGTTCTTGGACTCCTCTTCATGTTGTTCATTTTTTCTAGAATTGGATTTGGTGAATGGCTAAATCCACTCACTCAATGAGTATTTTAATTACAGTTATTGAATTTCATCAATACTTAAAAATTATCAATATATATTTTCCTTCAAA